GCAAACGGATCGGATTGGGTTTGAAGCAGTGTATATTTGAATCCAATCCAATATATTATACATTTAATAGGATCTCATAAATACTGATTTGAATTAAGATCCAATCAAGATGTTGGATAACCGAATTTGATCTGATTCAATTTTATTTTTTAAAATTTAATAAATTACTAAAAGGAAAAAGGAAGATATAACAGTTTAAATAAAAAACAAAAAATACAAGTATTTTTAACTATTTTTATCATATATATATACATATTTTTTTATAAAAAATTTACAAAAATACAATATAAATAACATATTTAGATAGTGATGATCTGAATCCCATTCAATTCTAATCAGACCCAATTATCAAATCCAAAAATCTGAAATAGAGATATCTGAATCCAATCAAATAGGATCGGATCAGATCATGATTTGATCCAGTTGTACTCCTATTGACGATCATTTTCTGGTAACACACCCCTATTGACTACCTAAACTTCATTTTGTGCCTGATGCCCCCTAATAATCATAAGTTAGCAAATAAATATAAAATACTTACCATAGCATTTTCTTAGGCCATGTGTTTGGATCAAAGAAAATAAGAGGGAAATAGAAAGATGAGAAAAATTTTCTTAAGGCTGTGTTTGATTGCAATGCAAATTTATTTGCACTAATGCAAACTTATGGTAACACAAATGATTTGGGTGTAAATTCCAATTTATTTTTATATCAAAATTTACCTTATTTTGTTTGTAAAAATGAAGTAAAATAAAACCAGAAGCACAACAGAGTAAAACCCAAAACAAAATTAAATCAAAATTTGCATTATTTTCGGTTTGGTTTGTCGGTTCAGTTCGATTTTTTTGGTTTTTCATGATCACCCCTATTTTGTATTTCTAAACCTGTATTTGCATCATACGTATTATCATACTCTTCCCAAATTAAGACTAAGGTTGTATTTGGTTGTGAATTTTATGCTTTTTGCAAGAATTTATCCTAGACTTTATGTTTTTCTCTTATTTTCAATCAACTAAGAAATTGGATTGAAAAATATGCTATACACCAAGGTTTTAAAAACTGACCCGGAAATGGAATTGTTCTGTGCACCGTTTTCTGATTTGGCGGTTCAACTGTCCGAGTTGAACGGTTCGACCCATGATGTCATAAATAAATAAAAAACAAAAAATATTTATATATAATAAAAAATACCATAGAAACTTAAATAAAATACAGAAAAATATAGGAAACACAACATATGAAAAAAATATCTAAATATAAAAATAATAAAATACAAAAAATACAGAAAAAAATCCAAAAAATACAGAAAATTTTCCATGACCATTACTAGATTTCAAATTTCAAGATTAAAGTTCAAACTATGGTATGCATATGATCCATAGTTAGAGATCTCCACCTGTTCTAAATTATCAAAACATTGATGTAACTCACATGTAAAGTAGGAAATTTCTCAACCCAAGAAACGAAAACTACAAAAAACACCAAACCCCTTGCATTCACCAAAATAAACAAAATATAGAGGTAAAACAAGAAAATGATCACATACCAAAGATGTTGATTCCAAGTTGGGCATAGATCGGAGAGAAAAATCCATCCACAAAATGTATAAACCACCATGTGATATAAATGCAATTGCTATTGGAAATAGAATGACATTGGTAATGGTGGTGTGACAGTGGGTTCGCCGCCGGTGGGCTTGGGCAGTCGAGCTTGGTCGTAGGCAAGTTGCCGCTGCAAGCCTGCAAGTGCTGCTCCGACTTGCAGACAGTGGGCTTGGTCACCAATGCCCAATGCCGAGTGCCGAGTGCCGCTGCAAACTTGCCAGACAGCCACTACAACCTTACCATCCTCCGCTGCAAGTGTTGGTGAGCCTTTTCGTCGTCGGACGCCACTGCAAGTGCTGGTGAGGGTGAGTCTTTTTGTTGTCAAATGCCACTGCAAGTGCTGATGAGTCTTTTCGTTGTTGCAAGCTCGCTGGTCACAGTCGATTGGTGTGTGTTGCCGTCGAACGCCGGAGGTGATGGCTGCCGCAAGTGGTAGGTCGGTAGGGTGTGATGGTTGAAAGGAGGGAACTCGGGAAGGGTTAGAAGTTAACCCTAAAGCTAAAGGGAGGGGATTCGAACTGGGTTGGGATATAAATTATAAAAGGTATTTTATTTTTTTATTTAAAACATTGAAAATAAAAATGCTAACCTGCGAACCGCTGCCCAGGTCGAATGATTTAGCGGTCCGACCGCCGGGGTCAGCGGTTTCCTAACCTTTTCAATGTTTTTTAACAATTTCCGGTTTTTAGTAAAATCGGACCAGGGGGCTGACCGGTTACTGGTTTTTCCAGTCTGGTCTGGTTTTAAAAACTATGCTATACACATCAAGTGATGTATCTGACATGCCTAAATTATCCTTATGTACAATTTTTCCCTTTTTATTTTCTCTTATTTGATGCGCCTAAAAATGTCTAATACATCATATATGCTTACAAGGGGTATTTTTAGTTCATTTTCGCAATGGAATGGTGATAGAGGTATTTATTTTTGAGACTGTGATAATTTAGGCAAGAATGGGCACAAAATGAAGTTTGGATGGCCAAGTGAAACTAACTCCATATTAGACAGTAAGGGTGAACTTGGGTTGATTTGGTTTGTTTCCAAGGCAAAACTTGGAGGTTAGCCTATTACTTCCATGATTTTGGAACCAAAACCTAATCTTTCGATATCAATTCCAAGTTCAGTTTTGGCCTTGGTAGTTTCACAAGAGTTTGGCTTTAGTCAAGGCAAAACTTATTCGAGCAGCCTTTACAGCCTTGCATTGAGAATATCACCTTACTTATGTGCTTTATTTCATAGGGAGATCTTCTCAATGCAAGGGTGCAAATCGGCTCCATGATTTTGGAATCAGAATTTAATTTGTCAATGTTACGAAAAACCCAAGAAAAGCATATCCAAATGACACTTAAAATGAAAGTAAAACAGAGATAAAATGAAGCAAATACAGAGAACACACAGATTTACGTGGTTCGCCTTATAGCCTACATCCATGGGCAAAGGAGGAGCAGAAATCCACTATATAGTCAACAATGGAGAAGAAATATAGAATTCTACTCTCACAACCTCACTCATAGAAAACCCTAAATCCCAAATACACCTCGATGTCTAACTCCTCTCTCCCAAAACAAACCACTATGAAATTTTGCCTTCAGATTTTTCTCAAATTATTTCAGAGTGGATTCATCAAACAGGTCGCCACCAAGAATTCAAGGCACAAATATAACAGTCAAGATCAATTCCAAGGTTAGTTTTGGTATTAATAGTTTCACGAATAATTCCAAGGTCTAAACAATAATTGTATACTGTTTTTTTCCTATTAAAGCATTGACCTTGATTAACAATTTATCATAAACATTCCACACTCAAATCCATATATCTATTCAATTTCAAAATAATAATAATAATCATCATCATCATCCATAAACAACCTAAACAATATCATATAATCAGTAGGGTCAGTTCCAAGAATTTAAAACTGGACCTTACCTAGGAACCCATTGAAATTGACCTTCAACATCAATTTCAATTAGTTACAAGTAGAATTGACCTATTTGCTCACCCCTATTACATGAAATTTAGCCTTTTTTATGTATTAGAAACTTAGGATCTGTTTGGTTCATAGTCGGAATCGGAATTAAAATCCTTCGAAATCAAAATCGAAATTGGAATGAATTATTCCCATAGCCTGTTTGGTTCAAAGAAGAATGGAAATGAGAATTAGAATCAGTAGAAATGAGATTTCATTCCCAAGGGAGGGGTAGAGAATGACCATTCCCTCAAATAAAAGAATGTCATTCCAGCAAAAATGGGAATGGGATTCCAATTCTACCCAATCCAAACAGTTGGAATCGGAATAACCCATTTCGATTCCGTTTCCAGACTCCTATTCCTGTAAACCAAATGGGGACTTATTCACCCCCCTATTCCTCCTACCCACATCACCTCCAAACACGCCTTTGAGCAATGAACCAACTTTTGAAAACTTGAGAGCATGGTTTTTGAACTGTTATTGACTTGATCAACGACCTATTAACCGGTGATCAAATGCATTTAACTCAAGCAACAATAGTTTTGACTGTTTTTTATTTTAATTATTTTTATTTTATTTTTTAAATTGTAATAGGCCATCTATTCAGACGGGACGATCGAACATGTGACTTGGAAACCGGTGATGTGGTTCTAGTTTGAGGCCGGTTTTTAAAGCATTGCTTGAGAGAGCGGATAAGTCACCTCCTTGATATGCATCAGCTTCTATCTCTAGTCCTTATTTGGTTTCCAAAGTTAATTAATGGGAAAATTCCTGATCAGTACCCTATACTTTGACTTGAGTGATAATTTGGTCCCTGAATTTTAAAATGCGACAATTCAGTACTTAAACTTTCAAAATGTGACAATCCAATACTTAAACTTTCAAAATGTGACAATCTAGTACCTGTCGTTAACCAGTCCATTAATCAGCCATTAAGTGACATTTGAAAAGTTAAAAATGTCCTAAGAATGCCATCTAATTCTCTTTATCAACCATCCAAACATTGACAATAAAATGATTAATTCCAAATTCTAGATTCTTCAAAACTGTCACCAACTTTTTTAAATAGATGAGGCTAGGATTTGGGACTGTTCAATTTTTCGTCTATGTTTGGATGGTTGATAAAGAGAATTAGATGGCATTCAAGGGCATTTTTAACTTTTCAAATGTCACTTAACAGCTGATTAACGGACTAGTTAACAACAAATACTGGATTGTCACGTTTTGAAAGTTCGGGTGCCTCACATTTTTAAAGTTCGGGTACTGAATTAGTACAGGATTCGAAAATTTTCCCTTGCGTTGTGTTTGGTTTGAAGGAAAAGGTAGAGAAAAGAATCCCCCTTCTCTCTCTGTTTTTTCAAATCTTCTTGACCCCTACCTGGACTTCGAAATCCCAATGTCATGACCCCACCAATCAGTTCAGTCACATCTGCAACTCTCTCTCTCTCCCCGGGCTTCGAATTCCCACTCAATGTATGTCATGACCCGGACCCCACCGATCAGTTCAATCACATCTGTAACTCTCTCTCTTTCTCTCTGAGACTCCTCCCAAGCTCAAAGCCGACTCATTCGTCAAGTCCATACTCCATACTACCCAACCAGCAAACAGCTACTGAAACAGAAGAACGGGCCTCCAAACTTCTGCACAATGTGTAGCTCATTCCCAATCTCCACCGCACTGTTTTTTCTGTTTATCGCTTTCTCATTACCTAGTGTTCTTTCTCTTACCACCCATGAACAATGGAAGAAACAGCAGTCCGCCAACGATGTCCACCCCAACGACATGGACCCAGCTGAAGCAGAAACGTTGTTCAAGATCATGGAGACCATGTCGTCTGATAGAAACTGGAAGGTCTCCAACCCAAACCCATGTGAACCAGGCTCTTCATGGCCTGGAATAGAGTGCAAATTAGGCCAGGACAACCGTCTCTATGTCTCCAGGCTTGATTTTGGCACGCCTCCTAATCCGACCTGCAAGGCTACAGCTACCTTTCCTTCTGAAATTTTTCATCTTCTCTACCTTCAATCTGTGTTCTTCTTCCGATGCTTCACTCACACCAAAACAAACATCTCCATACCCCCACGTAGAATCTCCACTTCTCTGCAGCAACTCAGTCTGAGATCGAACCCTGCACTGGTCGGGCCGATACCACCTCAAATATCTTCCTTGAACTCCCTGCAGATCCTCACATTGTCTCAAAACCACCTCACTGGGAAGATTCCAAAAGAGATCCTTTCTTTGACCTCACTGGTGCACCTTGATTTGAGCTACAATTTCCTTTCAGGAACTATTCCAGACCAGTTGGGAAGTCTCAAGAACCTTGAAGGTCTTGATTTAAGCTACAATTCATTTACGGGTCAGATTCCAGACACAATAGGGCAATTGGGTCTTCTTCAGAAGCTTGATTTGAGTTCGAATTTACTCACTGGTGGCATCCCTGACAGCATAGGAAACCTCAGTTTCTTGGCTTTTATGGCTCTGAGCAACAACAGATTGAAAGGGAAATTTCCTAAAGGTTTGGCAAAGTTGCAGAACCTACAGTACTTCATCATGGATGACAACCCAATGTTCGTTTCCCTGCCAGTTGAGCTTGGGAGTTTGGTAAAGCTGCAAGAGCTCAGGCTTTCAAATTCAGGTTATACGGGAGCCATTCCTCAGAGTTTCTCTCAGCTTCTGAACCTCAGCACTTTAGCTATGCAGAACAATAGATTAACAGGTGAAATTCCAGTTGGTTTAAGTGGTCTATCTCACATATATCATTTGAATCTGAGCAGAAACTTGTTGGCTGGCGTTGTTCCTTTCAACTCTCAATTCCTGAAGCGGTTGGGAAGAAATTTGGATCTCAGTGGGAATCCAGGGCTCTGCTTGGATAAGTCTGTAGTTTGCAATGGAGTAAAGATCGGAGTAAGTGTTTGTAGAAGCAACGGAAATGGTTCTCTTGTCCAACCATTGAGGGATGAAGCTCCATGCCAGCTCTCCAAATCAATCAGTCTGTTGGGTGTTTTATGTCTCTGGGCGTTGTATGGGATATTATTTTAGTGCGGATTTTATTCCTTTTTCTTCATCTTATCTTCTTTTCCCACTGATTCTTTTGATGGGTTTGATGGGTTTTCTGAAGGTTGAGGTCTGTCATTGAAGAGAGGACCAACTGAGTTTTCTGCTAATTTCTGTAACCAGGGCTGTTTCTTTTCTTGGCTGCATTTGGGTACTGTATTTCTACATTGGTTTCTGCTAAATCCAGTAACTGTTTCTATCTTTGTTAGGTTGAAGGATTTAGAAACACCGTCTAAATTGAGTTCAAAGTCACAGCACTACATATTTTTATCCGGTTTGTCTCAAATTCTAAATTCATAAGCTGTTGGAGAGTCTTCTTGGATTCTATATGGAAGTCAGATTTGGGTGTCACCCATCGATCAAAGTGCAAGTTATACTTTTAATGGAAAAACTAAAAAGCTTGGTTGGAGGATGAGGACCCATGATCAGTTTGGACCCCATAACTTGCCATCTGTCCTAGGTTAGGATGATCTGGCTCTTTGTTCAATGGGGTCCCACCTTTATCTGGACAGTGAATAGGAAGTTCAGTTTGAACTATTTGGATTATCGATCATCACATGCTGGTTAAAGAGAAACAGGTTTCCTACTTATTCAGTTTAGAGAAGAAAACTAGAAATGAGGTATTTTAGCTCCCAATATAGAATTTGGTGAAGAAAATTGAATACCCAATTGACAAGTGGAAAAGGGTAATGGCTTGGAAGAAAAGGGAAACAATCAATTAAATAAATAAGAGGAGTAGTTGTGACTCGGGACTGGTCACACTGCAATCCGTGAACCCAGCAAGATCTGACTACCAGGACACTTATAAATGGAGGAGCTACAATATTAATAGTGTGAGTCTGTGGTACTGGTACACTTTTTTATTCCTAACCTACCCTTCTCAAGTAGGAGTACAACTTGGTTCGGGTCGGGTTATCGTTTTACTTTTCAATGAGCCCGAACCCTAACCCGAGCCTAATTTAATTGAAATTTTTTAAATCAAGCAACTCAATTAGACCAACCTAGGGTGGCTCGTTGATATGTTAATTGATTCGCTCTAGCATTGACGTGCAACCACTGATTTAAGAAGGGGGAGAAGTTAAAAGCAACCCAATTTGCAGCTCTATTTCAATGGATTTTTAATTTGTTTTATTTATTTCAAAATTTGTGCTTTAGTTTTAGGGAAAATTGCAGGTAGTGACGCTGAACCCCATGAACTTTCATTTTGTGACAGACCTACCATGAATTTTCAAATTCAAGCACTTTTTCCCCTGCCATTAGTATTCTATAAGTTAACTTTAAAATGTATTCCCATGTGACTGTCATGTACATGTTTAAACATTTCTAAAATCACAAACTGCCATTAAATCATCTTACGAGACTCTTTTGTAGAAAATTGATGAAATACAAAAAAAAAACAAAAAATAATGAAAAGGGCAGGAAATTATAAAAAATGCAAGAATCACAAAAAAAAATAAGGAAAAAGAGGAAAATAAGACAAATACAGAAGAAGAAAAAAACAGAAAATATAACAAAGAAAAAGTGGAAAAAATGAAAATTGCAGAAAAAACAAAAATAAAATATAGCAGAATGAAATTGAGAAAATACAAAAAAATGCTGACAAAGAAGAAGAGTAAAGTATAGAAAGACAGGGGAATATAAAAGAATGTAGAACATTGAATGGCATTTTCAGAATTTTATCTGAATCTCAAACCCATTAAGAGGGTGGGGCAAAGTGCTGAAATCTGAAAATTCAAGGTGGTCTTTGTCCCAAATGAAAGCTCATAGGGGTTAAGTTTCACTATCCCCAAAATAAAGGGCAACAGTCTGCAATTTATTATTTTCTTTTTTTTTTTTATTTCAACTTTCAAGCTATTCAAAAGTCCAAACCAGAATTCAAAATTGGGCCCATTTGGCTGCCTTATCTGTGAGCCGGGATGATCAGCAAGGGCACTAAGCAATAGTCCACTTTTAAACGGTCCAAAGGTGTGGAGCGTCTGTTGGGTTTAAACCAGGGCTATTAAGTCATTTAAGTGTCGAGCAGGTATTTCTATTTTCTAACCGGAGTAGGAACAGAGCTTTTGTTAAAGAAACAGCACAGAAGAGCCAAGACCCAGAGAGAGAGAGAGAACTCCTTCATGGGTCTCACTCAGTTACCAAAGAACCAGAAACGTTTCAGATCCTCACGTGGGCGTACCAGTACTTTGTGCAAGGACAAAGGTTACTTTCTTTTGTAAGACACCCACCTCGGGGCCCATGTTCTCAGTTCTTACCAGAACTCTCCTTTCTCCCATGAATTTACTTATTTACCTAAACATAATGATCTCTCTATCAAGTTGCAGTTTCGAGTTTTCTGATTTTTACTTTGATAAGCATGGGTTGCTTAGCCTTGAGAGTACCTGTATCTGTCCTATGCGCGTGGTTTTTTTGACCACTTTGGAGATTCTCATGAACAGATCCTCTGAAAATTTTGCTAGGATTTTACTTTGAATAGCTTCTAATGCCTGATTTGGGGTGAGGTTTAGGTTGTGTTTGGTACCGTCCTGTTTTTACTTTGAATTGTTTGATACAACTTAGTGAGAGAGATTTTTCTACTTGAAGCTTTTTTGGGTTGATTAATACAAATTGTTGTTTCTTTCGTTAAATGTCAATCATCTGTCCTATGGGAGCGGATACGTTGAACGAATGATAATATTCCACAGCGGTAGTAAAATACATGGGACCCGCACCTTTTACTGTGAGACTCCATGAATTTATTACTTGTGTAGAACATTTTTCTAGTTGGAATGACTCTTGTATATGATGTTATAAAATATATTTTCACTGATTTTTATTCATCAATCCAAAAAGTTTTAGGTAGAAACAACAATTCTAAAGCTTTGTTCAATTTGATCATGGCTGATACTTATCATTTCAATAGAGTCCGATACGTGGAACATGAAGAAATCATCTATCTTGTTTCTTTTTGTATGTATCACACCGATACAGGTTTGAAATTTAATTTTTTTTCGGGTTTCCTTCATTCATTAATCTCTTTAATTACTTTTATATTTAATTATAACTTTTCTTTCATTAATTAGTCAATTATTCCTACTTTAAATTTAAATTTGAATTTTAAAGTTTAATTCGAATTCTCTTATTAATTCCACTAATTAATGATACTCTCTCATTAATTCTGCTAATTAATGATCATATCTCATTAATTTCGTTTTGTTAGTATAAAAAAGCTACAAACTTTAAACAATGGCAAAATTCAGACCTTAGTCACTAGGTTTTAACAATCATAAGTCACCACTAGGCCATGCCCATTTGTTTGTTATGGTCATATGCATTATTATTTTTAAGTAAAATTTCTATTTTTTAATGGATATTTATTAATAAATGCTAGAATTAATCATTAAAATTTATATACTATCAAATTAAATATCAATGCAATAAAATGTTTCAAGACCGACCCTAATTGCTATTGCTTTTATTGAATTTACCCCCACAGAACGAGATTCACTTGATTGATACATGTACCAATTCAACATAGATCCAAGAAATTTCATTGAATCATGTTCTTATAGACTTATCTTATAGAATAGAAAAAAAAAATATGCATTATTATTTTTAAGTAAATTTTCTATTTTTTAATGGATATTTATTAATAAATGCTAGAATTAATCATTAAAATTTATATATTAATAAATATTAATATAAATTGATGTACACACATAACATCTATATTGGTTATTTGAAAATTGATGTATACACATTCATATCAACAGTTATTAATAGTAATTATTTACAATTAAATGATTATAAATATGGATTTTTGCATTTAAATAACTTATTTACAATCATTTAAAACTTATAATTATTGTTAGTAATATATTTTCTAGAATATATTTGAATTTTCTAACATATTTATACCTATCTTAATTTTTCAAATATATCTAGACATATCTAAAACGTATTCCAATGTCTCTTAGAATTGTTTTTTCAATACACTTTACATTTTCGATACTTTGAACCTTGATCAATTTTGATGTAATGGTAAAATTTATAGCTGAGAAGTGTGGAAACATTAGCTTTTTTTCCTTTTTTTTTTGCATGTGAGATCATAAGTTTGAGTCTATTAACATGTCAAAGGTTAATTGTTTTCTATTTTGGCCAGATGAATGCCAGGTCAGATGAGATGGGATCTCCTGAAATCAAAATTGTGTATATACCCTAAAAGAACGGTATCTAACTGTACATAGAAAATATCTTTCCATGATATTCGGAATATACGATTGAATATCGTGTTCTCAGCGGTGTGTATAGAATTTTTTGTGAATAATCCGTGGTAAGGGCAGATTTGATGAGCCAGACATGTGATACAAATCTAACTCCATCATACCAACCGGATCAAGCCATTAATAGGATTGAAGGAAGTAGGAGTGAAAAGGGAAGTCGTTACTTTTGGGATTCCATCAGGTATTTTGTAGCGGGTAAATCCAGAAATTAGCAGAAGTGTGATTCATTGTAAAACACTTAAAACAAAGAGGCTATGTTTTACAATATCCATACTGATTGTACATTTTTAAGCTGGATAAAACAATGTAGAACATGATTCAATTAGTTCTTAAAAATAAAATTGAAACAAAAAATATAACTTATAAATTAAGCAAATACTTTTCACAACATTAAGTGTTTCTTCTTTATCTCCTTTTCTTCTTTTTCTTCTTAGGTTCCGTTTGTTTTTCGATAAGTTATTTAACCAGGTAAATGTAGTTACCTGGGTAAATTTTTCCTGGGAAACATTTACCTGGATAAGTGCATTTACCCATGTTCTTTTATTTCTCATGTAAATAAGGCAATGCCCATTTTAGCCATAAAAATCCAATATTAAAAGAAACATTTTTGTTCCATTCAAGGGGGTGGGAAAGTTATTTATCCATGTAGGAGATGGGTAATAAACTTTCCCTGATCCCCACATAAATCTAAAAAAAGAACATGGGATTCTTGGTCAATGAGATTTTTCCTCCTTCTCAAAATCCAAAAACAGAAAGCCCCCTTAAAAGCAGTTGAAGTTGAATAAAAAAATTTAGGGACAACTTAGATGGGTACGGGTTGGGATTTTGTTAAAATTTAAATGAATGCGGCCTATAAATTTGAGCCCAATGCAATGCAAAATCGCCAATCGGTTACCCAATTTGCACCCCTAAAAGTTAGGGTGCATGCGAGGCCCACTGACCATACCATGAAGAGCTTGCAGTTCTGTGGGTTTGATCCCACACCTTCACTTGGGAAGTAATGCTGAGTGA